CTTGACATCCTTTCTGAATACATTTTATGGCTTTCATAACAGATATCAGGCTGTTGTGATGACCCCAACGATCACCATAAATCACAATCGGCCCTTTCCCCGATAAATCAATACTGATCATCTTTTTATTGCACACAATACTGGCCTAATTTTCTGCTAACCAATCCATGCCTACCATAACATCAAACTCTCTCATTGGCATTGGGTACAAATGAATTGGTAACCCACACTCTTCAATCTCAATTTGACAATTATCAAAAACACAGGTAATAGATACTTAACTATTATTAGTAGAATCAACTATTAAATATAGTCGAGAGGCACATAATTCACGTATAGACACCCCAGTAAAACAAAGGTGATACAAATCAATAATTAGCACCAGAATCAAATAACACTTTGGCATATAAGGACTTGATAAGAAAGGTACATATTACCACATCAGAAGTTTTCTCTGCCTATCCCTTTGTCTTTTGAAAAGATCGCTCCATCGCCCTATCCGATTCACTTCTTCGGATGTTGACTCCCCCACGCGTATTCGGAGTATTTCCATCCAAAGTCAATCTTAGATCTTTTAACTGGGGATAATCTGGCCTGATATGGTCGGGGGAATTACAATGAAAACATCGTTGAAGAATCCGGGAATTTCTGGACAAGTGCCCCGGCTACCCACATCTATAGCACTTCTTTTGTTCAAAATTACAATCACCCTGATTAACACAATGACATCTTTGGCATGGTCTTTCATTAAATTATTGGGCAGGACGAGTTTATGTCTTTATAAATTTTGGTCTTCTATATTCAGTTGAAGACCCTTCCCAACCACCTTCTCCTATCCCTTTCGATTCTTGTTCCTTTCCATTGTCTCTACAACATCTACTGCCAGTGGAAATGTAGAGGGATTTATGGCAATCACGAACTCTTGTATCGAAGGATTTATTCCCCAAATGTACCTATTAGATTCTGATGAAATATAGTGCTCTGTAAATCAGGAGTGTTCAATAAATTTTTCAGTGTACTCCCTTACCGTCTGATTGCCTTGCTCTAACGTTAAGAATTATTTTTCTAATTGTCTGATAGCCGCTTTCGGACAGAACTGCTCCCTGAATCGGTCAACAAGTTTCATCCAGGACATTGTTTGCAAAACATTGGGTCTTACTAGTGATTCAACATCCCACCAGTACAGAGCATTAGATTTCAACATTGATACAGCAATTCTCACTTTATCATCGTAAGAACACTTGTTGGAATTGAATACAGATTCTATCTACCTTAACCAACACATTGCCTTACTGGATCCTTTTTTCTAGAAAATGTTGGGGGTTTACAGTTTAAAAACATTTTGATAGTACCCCCTCTGGTGTTTGCAAATTGGACCTATGGATTTATTTCAACCCTTTCTGTTTCTACCCTGGCCGGTACTCCCAGAATAGATGTCAGAGTATTTCTCAACTTGCTTATTTCTTCTGTTAACATGTCCCGAGCAACATACTCAGGATGTTGTACCGGCTCTTGATTTGCATTCTCCTGAATTTATTCACCTTGGTCTAGATGAACTTCAGAGTGATTGTTCCTTTCTCTCCTGTGTCCCTTCCACGACCCCTACCTCGACTTCTCAATCTACCTCTGTCTGCTGGTAGATTTGAAGGATTGTTTTCAGGAGAACTCCCCCTCTCGTGCGGGCTGATGAGGGCGATCCTTTTAGACCTTCGTGAATGACTTGCCATATTAAATTTTCTAAATTTAAATTCATAATTACATTGGCCAGTTGTAATTTGAAATTACCTTACATATCGTTCTCTTAACACATCATATTTATTCCAAAGGTTCTACATATATCAGGGACCCTTAATATGCAAATAATACAATTTAAGTCTAGGGATTAGGCTGGATACCTAAATCCCTTAAAATTAGGATCTAATACCAAACTTGTAACATTCCAAGATCACATTTGCATATAAACATATATTTTCACATATCAAGAAATATAATTTATACATTCAGTCCCAATATTTAAAAGAGCTACATTACAAAGTAGCTAACAACTTTTTCCACAAAATCTCTATACAAAACTTGTAATATAACAAGTTCTCAGATACAAAAGATAACATGATATCCTTAGTATTCCATGCAGATAAATATAATTCTTTACAATTTTCCCTTTCCTTTATCCTCTTATTGAGCCCAACCTGTAATGCACATATTCCCAAAATACCAAAATGAGGGTTAGACTTTGAGGTCTAGTGAGAAATCTCATTGATACTATTACAAGGTGAATAATCACCAAATCATATTTATAAACTCATATTCATATCAGTATCAAATTGAAAATACTTTAATAGATCAACCCTCTTTAATCGCATCAAAATAGCCAAATAACTTAATAAACACATTCCGAGTAAACTTATCGCATCATATGGATGAATGTATAACTTTCTCGCATCACATGAGTGAGAGAACCACATCTCCTTGCAACATACTGTTGTGAGGACCTCATCTCATCGCATCACACTGGTGCGATAAACCCAACTTGTTGCATCCCACAGGTGCAATAAGTTAACTTGTCGCATCACAAGAATACGACAAAATCACTCCTCGCATCATATAGGTTCAATAACGACTATTCATCGCATCAATAAGATGTGATAACTTTAAGTCATTGCATCACATAGATGCAACAACTCCAAGTCATCGCATCATAAGGATGCGATAGCAAAGAACATTTTGATTAAAAAAAAAACAGATTTTATATCTCAATGATTATGTCATCCTTATCCTGGTATACACCTCTCATTGATATGTCACTCTTATAACCAAAATACACATCTCTTTGATATGCCACACTTATTCCATCACAAGATATAACATATCAAAATCCCACAATATGTTAATTATAGCATCCACAAACAGTTTTATAATCATCTCCCCATATAAAGAACCATACGGTTCAAATTTCTAAATTACCAAATAAGGAAAGTTTGTAAATAACTCACCTTATGTAATCCACGTAGATGAAGATATGAAGATGAATGGCAACAATTTCTGGTAATAAAACAGAATCAACTTCTTCTTATTTTTGTTTTTGCTTCTGTTTCCTACAGACTCCAGAACACACACACACACACACATATACCTTTTTCCCATTTCTTTCCTATCTTTCTTTTATCATTCACATGAGATAATATAATTATCTCATATTATCATGTATAAAATCATGAGGCGGTGGGTTAATTTCAAATTTTTTTAAGCATAATAACAAATCTAACCCCTCAACTTACCATCATTTTTCAAAAACAATACTGAGCTTTATAATCAATTAACTAGTTATCACAACTTATTTTATTAGACATTTTTTAAAGTGTCCTAAAATGTTAATATGACGATTTACTTCTTGTATCATTAAATTGATTAATTTCATAGATAAAGCTTGATAAGTTCTCTTAGGGGTTGTTTGGTTTGCAAGAGAGGAATGAAATTGGGAGGATTTGGATTTGAAAGTCATTCCAATCCCATGTTTGGTTTGCAGGATTTCCAGGATTTGAAATCCAAGGATTCCTTTAAAATCTCGTAAGTGATAGTTTGGAAATTCTTTGGAAAGGGTTGGTATCTCAAATCCAAATCCGATGGGATTTCATAGAACACATACTGCCCTAATTTTAGCCGTCTCCTTCCCTTTGAAAGTCCTTTGAACATCTACTTCCAAAAGCTCTTGAAGATCAATAACCTGGTCCAAATCCGCGCACTTTCAAGAATCGATATGAATCGAGTGTCTAATTCGACAATGACGGTTTCCATCACGAAGTTCCTGAGGGAGCGCGTATTGAACTTGTAACTGGCGTTTTTACATTGTGCTTTCCACACTTCACCGTTGAAGTTGAAGGTATCACGGTCGAGGAAGTCTTCAATGAGAGTAATGAACCGGGTTCCTTTGGGTAGTTATCAAAAAGTTGGTCTTGAGCATGTATTCGACGTTTGCAGGGTTTGCAGTGACGATGCCATTGATTTTTCAGGACAGTGGAAGTTAGCGGTGTTGGTTGGATAGTGAGAGAGGACTTGGGGTGCTCCATTCAAGAAAACAATGGCGATTTAGGAGAAATTCGGGTAGGGTTCCTAGTATTGGGTAATTTTTGAAGCCGATTGGAGTGGTGGATGTGGATTTTGGGAAGAAGAAACAGTAGATGAAGAGAAAGATTGAGAATATTAAAATGATAGGTTGGATAGAATTGATATCCATATTCATGTTTAAGATGATGGATTTTTGCAATTTTGGGAATCTCTAATGATGAAGACCAAGATGATTATGAATCAAGAAACTGAGAATTATTATAAAAAATTAAATCTCAATCTAAATCCTACAAACCAAACATGATTTATAAAGGAATGGATTTAAAATCCATTTGAAATCCTACAAACCAAACACAACAAAGGATTCTAAATCTAATCCAATCCAATCCTATCCAAATCCCTTAAAAACAATCATGTAAACTAAACTCGCCCTTGTTTTTGTCAAATACGTTTATAAATAATATATTAATTTATTTACAATTTATATTATATGTGTATATGTGATAAAAGACCTAAATATTGAAATGATGAGTTTATCGTAGTGGATGTGATGTGAATGGTTGAAAGGTGGGAAATTTTTATTCGCTTTGAGTATCCACCACTATGTACAAATTAGGTACTTCCCCATGTTAGTTTTCAATTTCTTTTTAAAAAATATATTAATTTAAGTAAAAAGACCCAACAACAGAAAATATATATTAGCTAATGTCCACTTCAATCTCAATTTCCAGAAGGAAAAAAAGAAAAAGAAAAAAAAAACCTTACAAACGAACGAAAAATATCAACACAAAACTAACACTTGACATTCACATGACTACCAAAAGGGTACGTGTTTTCATGAATACGTTGTTGTTAATTAATAATTAAATTATCAGACGATATTAATTAATGGTATAAAATATTATTATTGAATATTTGTAAGTTGAAGGAGGTAGGATAGGCTATAAATAATAGGGAGGGTGTAAGAGAGAAGAAGCAATATTATTGAGAAAGGAGACATGGGGGGAGCATCAATGAAGTCTCTTCTTATGTTGCTGCTTTCATCTTCCTTCTTCTTCTCTTTGGTAGTTGCAAGAAATCAGCATGCTTTAGAAGAAGCCATACCCAACCATTATCATAACCTTCAAACAACCTCCTTCCTACCATCATCCATTTGTACCCTCTCCACTAAAGGTTTAATTCCTTCCTTCCTTCCTTCCTTCCTTACTCTCTCTCTCTCTCTCTCTCTACATACATATACATATATATACATACATATATATGTATGTATATATATATATATATATATATTGTTTATAATCAAGATTCACCTACTTCATGTCTGTGTTATGTCGATATCTTATTAGACAATACCCGAATGGATGAAAAAGAAAATCTTTTGATAACCACCATAAGTTGTATCCTTTTAGAATCATATGAAACACAAGATTTTATGAATCTTTTATCTTGTGTATGTGTATATATATGTATATGTATATGTATATGTATATATGTATATGTATATGTATGTATATTATACAATGTACAATTGTAGGAGATATATAGCCCGCATAAATAGAAGCAAAAAAGCTAGCTAGTGTCTATTTGTGTGCATGTGTATATACGTATAGCTAGCTTCCATGGTTGTCAAGTAATTAATACAATAATCAATTATAAGTTTTATCTTGCAATCTTAGAAATAAAAAGGTTGCAACTTCTATATGACTACAGAAATCTTACATGAGGCAAAAGAAGTACCGGCCTACAAGTGCTTATGAATATTTATTATAAATCCTAGAATTATAATCAAACCATGTTAATTTTATGTTTTAATCTTGTACGTTGAGTGTTTCTTATGTGTATTTGTTAAAAATCCTAGAATTGTAATTAAATCATGCACAATTTTATGTTTAATTCGTGTTTATACAATATTTGTTTGAGTATTTAGGGAGTGTTTGAGATTACTTATTTGAAACAACTTATGCTTTTCTACAAAAGTACTCATCAACTTATTATAAGTCATTAGGGTTTAACTTCTTCAAAAACTCTTTATTACCGGTTTGGCACCGGTATAAATTGTTTATCCAAACACTCAAAAGTGTTTATTACTGGTACTACATCGGAATAAGTCAATAAGTTATTTTTATAATCAATCCAAAACACCCCCTTAATCTTATAAATAGAAATATATATATATATATATATATATATATAAAGTTTGAGAAATATTATAAAAAGAAAATAGAATTGAAGATGTTAATTGGAAGTGATCGAAAAGTCCTTTTCATAAAACAAAAGAATTGGACCCCATGAAAGGGGTAATATAACCACCACTAGTGGATTATTAGGACCAAACATGTCCACACCACATTACACAATTTTATTTATTTCTCCATTAATTATTAATTATTATTATGCTTTTTCTTGTTTTAATTAATTAATCAATACTTAATTTTTATTTATAAAAAAAATATAAACTACTTAGTTATTATCTAGAATATATTTCTATGAAAATGGATTAGAAAAGCAAAAAATAATATTTATGGAGTTAGAATAAAAGAATTATAAAATGAATATTAATTATTACTACTAAAACTTGTAAACAAAATGATGGATAATGATCAAAAGAGAAGCATCATTGAAACTAGTGTGCTTGTTTTCATTGCACACATACTTTATTCATTATTCCAATAAATTATAATATATATATATATATATATATATATATTGAATGATAAGCAACAAGAGAATCCTCGTAAATTAGAAAAAAAACAATTAGAAACGTAAATAGCAATGGTAAAAAGAAGTTAGATGATTGTCTGGACTGTTAATATATATATATATATATATCCATTAATGTTTCTTTTTTGGGGTATATGTTTAATTGTGAATATAAAAACGCCTCTGATTAAATTAATTTAAACTAGTGGACTTGTTTTTAAATCAAGTGTATGCATGCAGACACATATAGAGATGAATGTGTGTATTTGTTGCTGACTCTTTCAACTTTTATATATAACCAAACTGAGTAGAATTGACTCTATATCAAACACGTAAATATATCGTTTTCAAAAACAATTTGTTATATATATATATATATATATATATATATATATATATATATATATATATATATATAGGAGCGATCAAATGCAAACCATCCAATTTATACAAACCGTATAAACCACCGTCATCTGTCGGTTTCATTGTTTAATCTTATGAAACTTTTTCATTAAATTGTTTAATCTTGTAAAATTGTTTCATATAATACTTTTTATGATGAAGTTGTTTCATATATGATTATGAAATTGTTTCATATAATACTTAATAAAAAATTTAATGAAACTGTTTTATTTAAATCTCTAAAATTAAAATAATAAAGATGATAATATCCATATGATTAACACCCTTTACAATAAAAATGATTAATCAACCTTTCATAATTACAAGAAAATGAACAAAATAAAAAATTATGATTGGTTGAAGGTGGTTTGTACGGTTTGTACAAATGACGTGATTTGCAAAATAAACCTCCTCTACATATATATATATATATATATATATATATAATTTAGTAATCCAGTAACCACCTACTTTGTACGTATCCATGATAAATAGTATTAATCATGAATATCATATCATTTTATTCATAATGAATACTCACAAAAAAATGGTTCATAGGTTTCTAAAATAATTAAGGTTCCTAAATGAATCTCTCTCTATATCTATAAGTCATGTTCAATACACAATATCATTTTTAGGTTCTATATATACCAATGGAATGATGAAATGATAACCACAAAAAAGGCTGAAAACTAGTGAAAACCAATTTTTATGTCGTTTCACATTACTAAGTAATGCATCTGAAAGTATAGTGTTGTTTTACAAAATGTTTATTTTTAATCGTATCCTTTTTATTTCACTTTGTACAACAACACCGTATTGTCACATACATTGTTTCACAATATGAAATAACACATGACTAGTGATTCTCAATTCTTTGTGGTTCTCATATATTTCATCAATGAATATATTCATCAATGCATATTTACTATGCATGCAAGTATATATGTATTGATGCACATATACTTACCGAAATTCATTAGTGTACGTATATGCATCAATACTGCGTACGTTGATCGGCCATAGAGTGAACAACTATATTTTCCACGATCCTTTAGGTAGGATTCGTGAGGTAGAATTGTTTTCATGAAACTTATTTTTGATATAGAATATAAGGTGAAGTTTTAGGTAATGATATTGAAGACATATATATTCGCTCTAAAGGTTAAAAGTAGCAGGAGGTCTCAAGTTCAAATCCAAGTAGGAAACAAAATCCTCTTGTGGCTACGGAGGTTTAAATGCAGTGATTCCGGGCTATCTGCAAAGCAGATAGTCTTGGGATTAGTCGGCTCATATAACGGGTTGGATATCCAGGTTAATAAAAAAAAAGACATGTATAAAAATATGATAAACACATGGCAATAAGAAATTGTGAATAGGGGGGAGGATGACAAAATTGTGTTTTGGTCTTATTAGAGATTCACATGGAAAGGGGCCTTCCTTTTATTCTTATAGTAATTAAGTGGCTTTTTTGTTTGATTTGGTGTTGTTTCGAATCATAACACCCCCCACCACTATTTTTTCTTTATATCATCTTAATTTACTAATTATCCAATCAAATCTTTTAATACAACATAAATCAACTTCATACCAGTATTCTTTATTTGCTACTTTAAGACTGCAAATTAATACACAGTTTTACGTCTCTTTGTAAATCATCGTCACTCAACCTAGATCTAAATTCATGAACTAGGTGACAGGAAAAGGGGAACATTGGAAGTGGTTCATAAACATGGACCATGTTCTACTTTTAGCAAAGACATGGTTAAGCCCTTGGCCGTGGAAGATATCTTGAGCCATGATCAAGACAGAGTTGAGTCCATCAGGTCTAGGTTAACCATCACCACAGATGGCAAAAGAGACATACGAGGATCCAAGGCCACTCTCCCTGCCAAATCTGGAAGCACCATCGGTTCAGGTAACTACATAGTCACGGTCGGGTTAGGCACCCCAAAGAAAGACCTTTCGCTTATTTTCGACACGGGTAGTGATCTAACGTGGACCCAGTGCCAACCATGTGCCAGATCCTGCTATGCCCAGCAAGAAACCATATTCGCACCCTCTTCCTCCACCACCTACTCCAACATCTCTTGCAGCGCAAGCGAGTGCTCCGGACTCACTTCCGCCACCGGAAACAAGCCGGGTTGCTCCGCATCTTCTTCAGCATGCATCTATGGCATTCAATATGGCGACCAATCTTTCTCAGTAGGGTTCTTTGCAAAAGATAAACTTACACTCACATCCAAAGATGTAATCAATGATTTCTATTTCGGGTGTGGCCAAAACAACCAAGGACTCTTTGGAGGTGCCGCTGGCCTGCTAGGGCTCGGTCGTGATAAGCTCTCAATTGTATCACAATCCACTCGGGAATATGGAAAAGTCTTCTCCTACTGTCTGCCCTCACGGGCTAGCTATACTGGTTACTTAACATTTGGAAAAGACAGAGCTGCGAGCAACGCTAAGTACACGCCATTCTCGTCCTCAAAAGGAAGCTCTTTCTATGGTCTTGAACTTCAAGCTATATTCGTTGGTGGAAGCAAACTAGCAATAAGTCCAACGGTTTTTTCGAGCTCAGGTATGATCATAGACTCCGGAACCGTCATCACAAGACTCCCACCTACGGCCTACTCGGCTCTAAGTAAGGCATTTCGGTCGCAGATGACGAAGTACACCTTGACTAAACCATTATCTATACTTGATACATGCTATGATTTTAGCAAGACTACCACAGTTACAATACCAGTTATAAGCATGCTTTGGGGTGGGAATATAAAGGTGGATATTGCAGCTCAAGGGACACTATACGCAAATGGGATCGATCAAGTGTGCTTAGCTTTTGCAGGGAACGGAGATGATTCTGATATTGGTATTTTCGGAAATGTTCAACAAAAGACACTGGGGGTTGTGTATGATCTTCCTGCAGGAAAAGTGGGATTTGCCCCTGGAGGATGTGCATGAACACAAATAAAGACTAAAAAAATACAACTATACATGGTTATAAAGGATTTAAAGATCAAAATTTAGCGAAAAGATGGTTGGAATAAGGTATTGATGGAGGTTTTGTTGATTACCACTGCTTGATATTGGAATTTATGCAACTAAATGTACACTGATTGCTTTCGATTTCTATGCTTGATAAATAGTTGTCAAACCCTCTCACTTGTATTTGATTCATAGAGAAAACAATGCAAGTCAAGAAAACTGTATCCCCAAATCACCATTGTATCACTGAATCAAATTGTATAGTATGATTGATTCACTATATGTTCCCTGTAGTTCTTATCTTGTGTACATTGTTTTCTGGATTTGTATCCATTTCAAGATTTAAACTTTCTACAAATGGAAGAAATGCTTGTTATATGGTATACTTCTGGTTACATGAAAATCAAGAAATCTTTTAAGTTCAGCTACACCTAGATGAGCCATTCTATTAATGTTGACGGGTATATCAAGCAACCAAATTAATTGGTTCTAGGCCAAATAAGGAAAAAGCCAAGGCTCAAGCTATACCACCTAGTTGCACATCAACTGCCTGTTGCCTTTTGCCTATGCTAGGGGGCAGTTGATTCACATGTGTATGCCTTCAGATAAGACCAAAACTAATTGCAGCATTTTGTCAAACACCTTGTGTGAATGCCATAACCAATCTATATTCTGGGTTACAGAACCAAACAATCGCAAGTCACGGACTTATTTCACACCCGAAGAAGATAACAAATTGAATTTGAGGACCCAGAAAAAAAAAAGATTCTGATTAGCAATAGCGAATTACGAGAATTTTGATATACAAGTTGGCTACAATAAAAGTTTGCAAAGAAACAGGAAGGAAAACTAACCTTCAGGTCCTATGGATTGAAGATGTCATCGCTTTTGGTTTGTGTATGAATAAATTTGATTTATGATTAATCCATTTGTGTAAATTGAGTTGGTTTTTATTTGGAAATTTTTTTTCATAAACTAAGGGTGTGTTTACCTAAATGCTTATCCGACAAATGTTTAACGTTAGGAGCAAACACTATAATTTATTTTATTGGGTAATATTATAGTACATTAAAACATATCCTATGCAACAATTTACCTGGTAAGCGCTTAACCGGGTTAGAATCGTCACCTTCACTTATCGGATAGGACTCTCCATCCTTATCATTGTTCTTACCGGGTAAGATTTTTGACTCTTGTCATGTTCATCCGGTGAGGAAAATTACTCAGTAAATACTTACTGGGTAAGCATTTAGTAAACGACCCCTAAATGTTTTTTAATTGAGAGAGGTGTCTAGAAACTAATTAAGCAATAGCAAAAAGTCTTGTATAATTAATTGAATAAGATGGGATTTCCATTAAGCTCATTAAATTGCTAACAAATAGATTGAAAAAAATAAATTAAAAAGCACAAATTGTGAGGAATATTTTTGTTGGGTGACTATAAACTCAATCTTGTCCCTTTCAATCGAGAGAAAATTGGGTTCAGTTATTCAACTTATAATACTTGATGTACCGACTATCTAACCCAACTCATATACAAGTATTATGAACCCGATGTGAACTAGACCAATGCCGATTCGGATCCTAAGTTCTCTAGGTCGAGATGGTTAGATCGGAAAAACATTATGCCTAAATCAACTCAACCTGATGAGGCTGTCAAAAAAATACGTACGCAAGATTTATATGTTAATACATCTGTCCAATTTGAAATAACTTTTGCATCAATAAATGTGAAAATTAAAGAAATACAAATTAAAAATTATCTATTTGTTTATGACTTTTTCATTATTTTTCGCTAAAAGATTATTGTTTTAACTTCAAATTTCCAAACGTGGTGAAAACGTATGAGTTGACTATAAATGTTTTAGAAGAATCTGAGTTTTCCACTCTTTATTATTCATTTTCAAGAAATTATGGAAAAACGGTTGGAAATGCTCTTATTTTCTCATTATTATTATCATCATTAAGAACAATATAATTTATCTTAGTTCAGAAAACATCTTATTGTTCCGGTTTTTGGAAGGGTATTTTAGACATTTGACGAACATTTAAAAACTTACTGATAACTTTATCTCCACTCTCGAGTCCAACATGCGGTTTTCATGGGACAAAGTGATGATACATACATCAAGTATTATAAGTTGTTTAGTAATTTTTTGTTGATAAAAACATTACATGGCATGCAAATGTGGATACATTACAGTAAATTTGAGTTTATAGGACGTTTAAAATGTTTAAGCATTCTAATAACATACTTTATAGAACTTAAGTTTATAGGATCGAACTATAAAGCGTCATATTTAAAAGTGTTACAATATATTTATGGTTGCTTTTAGGCATTATAACAAGTTTTTTAAGATTTTTTTAAAATAAAGTGTCGTGTTAGCTATTTATATAACATTATTTGAAAGAGTATCCTATAAAAAGAGGGTTTATAGGACAATCCACAAAAATGTCATGTAAAATAGCTAATATGACACTTTATTTTAAAGGGGCTTTAAAAACTTATTAAAACGTTTACAATCGTCCTATAAACTTTTGTAACACTTTTAGATATGATACTTCATAATTTGGTCTTGTAAACTTTTGTAACACTTTTAGATGTACAGTCTTTAGACTAGAGATCATAAAGACCATTGTGTATGTGATACATTGTGAAAGATGACTCAATTATACTGAAACTGGATGAAAGAGCTTTTGTTGGGTAAGTCATGTATCATAAAAGTAGGGTATCATGTATTAAGATAAGATTTGTCCCTCCCATATGATGAGCGATGCCACTAACTCACTGATCCCTCTGATTTGTTGATACTAAAAATCGTGCATGAACATATGTGTAACATATAATGTTAACACATGTGAAACTTTCAGTATAACTAGAAATCAAAACTAAGGTTGAGGTTTGAACATAACGAGTATGACACATCTATAAGACAAATAGACCAAGTGTATAGACTGATAATGATTACAGATTGCAAACTAGAGGTTCCACATATATTTCTATTTACTTGGGTACTGATGATGTATTGTTAGACACCAATAATCTCTTATGATAATAAAAGAGTTTATAGTCATTGCTAACGTGATAGGAATTCGCCAAAGGGTCTTTGGCCTAGCGTTAGGTCAATGGCTCAAACCTCACTGAAAGGTAAGAAGGGTATGTGAGTTTATTTGTTCTATTTATCATATATAAATATTATATACTTTTAAAAAACGTAATAGAAATTCCTTACGTTACACACTACAAACTATTAAAAGAATTAGAATTGGATAATTAAAAAAGTTTAATAATTATTTAGGAGATTAAATTGAGTCCCCTCCCTCTCCCAAATCACGACATCGGAAAATTTGAGTCTGATTCTAGTTTGCATGGATTACTAAGGAAGCATCGATAGATATGGTGGAGAATTTTTCAACTATGAAACAATCAGATAAGCTTTTAAGATCTAGTTAATTAATCAGCGAGATCATAGATCTCGTTAAGAAAAGTTTATTTCCATACTTGTTATTTCCTTTTGGCTCCATCCACTCAAGATCCTTTTTCGTAGTTTCTTAAAAGTTGTTGCTTTAGTTTCTGTATTTTTTAAATTGCGGTTTTTATCCATTGATTTGCATTTCATTGTTCTTCTCGTCCACGAAACTAAATTCATCAATGGTTTAATGTTTAAGTATGAGAGACAAAACAATAATGCATTACAAACCTCGGGCGGGCCCAAAAAACCCCGTATAAGACGAAATCTGTAATTTCAAATATACAATAATGAAAACATCAATTTTCAACAAATCATAAAATGGACTTGACTTTAGCATTGTTAGAGTTGGGCTGAAATAATTGGACTGCAACATTGGGCCCTTAACCATAAAGCTAGCAACTTAGCAAGTGAATCCAAAACAGATACGGTTGCTACTTGCTAGTAGAGATGGCTAAATGAGCTCGGTCTGAGACTGATGGAGGATCGGGACAGGGACCGACTTGAGATCGGTTTGGCCCAGGACCGAATGGAACGGACATAAAAAATGTTATATTTTTTTATAGCCGTTGGGACGATCATATGATTGTTTTTTTTTTCATTTTTTCCTATTGACCCTCTATATACAATATTTAAGTCATATGGTATATGTGGAAAGATACCAACTCACAAACATAAAAATACATTCACAATTCTCACTATAATTCGTGATTTTGGCTCGTATTTGATTTCCATTTTGAACAAATTATAATAAAACATATTTTTTTAAGTGTATTTTATCGACCCAATTATATATTTTAAAATTTATTATAATAACATTTTTGTATTCTTTAAACAATTCAAAAGAAAGTTATATGTAAAAAAATGATTTTTTCTTAAAAAAATTGGAACCGATTAGGGCCTAGCCCAGGATCAGAACCGATTACAAAGTACCTTAACCGGACCTTAAATTTTTGGTTGGAACTAGAGGTGGCCAAAAATCGGTCCCGGGCCGGGCCATAACCGGTTACGGCCGGTCCCGATCAAGACAAAAACGTTCCATAACCGGTCCCTCCATAACCGGTCCCGGTTCCGGTCCCGATTCGGGTGAAATCCTCCATAACCGGTCAAGCTTACCGGTAACCGGTTAAGCCGTCCGGTCCCGGTTCCGGTCCCATAACCGGTTACGGCCGGTCCTTTGAAAAAAAAATATATTTTTTTTTCAAATTTTTGGTAATTAATAAATTTATATACATATACATATATATATATATATATATATATAACAAAACATATTTTTAAATGTATTTATAAAATTAAACGTATTTATTTTTAATATGTTATTAATATGTTTGTAATATGTTATTTTTAATATGTTTTATATAAATACGTTTAAAAATATGTTTTGTTATATATATATATATATATATATATATATATATACGTTTAATTTTATAAATACGTTTTGTTATATATATAAATACACGTTGACTTTTGTTGACCGGGCCGGGCCGGTCCTATAACCGGTTACATAACCGGTTCCGGTCTTAACCGGTCTCGGTCCTAAAAAACGTTAAAATCCATAACCGGTTCATAACCGACCGGTCCCGGGCCGGGTTCCGGTCCTCCGACGGTTACGGGCCGGGCCGGGCCCATTTGGCCATCTCTAGTTAGAGCCGGGACCAATTTTGGCCCTGCCCAGGCCTAGAACCAGTTACAAAGTATTTTAACCGGGCCTTGAATTTTTGGTTGAGACTGGGACCGATTTGGGCTTGGCCTCACCTAGCCCGGGACTGATTTCTAGGCATCTACTCTACTTGCTAGTCCGATTCCAACCCATAATCCTTTGTTGATTTCTAGTAAATACTAAACAACCCCTAAACTCTTATATATTACTTTTTTGCTA